CAGAAGCCCTTTTGCAAGGGCATTTTGTCGTTGCAAAAAGCCTTTTGTCGTCGAAAATACCCTTTTTCGATGGCAAATGTCCGTTGGAAGTCGTTGCTAAAAGGCCGGTTGCAAATACTTCATTTCCGACACCCATGCTTCGTAGCTATTGCTTACATTTCTATCGGAAATGGATTTTTAAAACAACCCTACATATTTATTTCCAACCATACATGTGGTCGTAATTACTTATTTGATTGTCGAAAATAGTTCTTTTGTCGTGATTTCTTGTTTTTGCGAATTCATATCTTTGACCAATGAGTGTCGTCAGAAATACTTTTTCCGACAATGATATATTATTTGTGAGGGCTAGATTTCATCGCAATTATCATTACCGACCAGAAGAGTTTGTGGAAAATATATATTAGCTCGTCGGAAATGAGTATAACAAAATATTTCCGATGGGCAAGTTACGTCGGAAATATATATTTCCAATCACATTTATTCGTCGCAAAGTTTGTCACAAATAGATTAATCCTATCGGAAAATATTTTCAACGAACAAGTGGTCAGAAATATAATTGTTTCGACCCGATTATGTCGTGGGGAATGTTGTCGGAAATATGTAATTATTGTCGGAAAGTATTTCCGATGATAAAGTGTTTGTTGGAAATATGCATTACCGAGAGGGAAATGCGGTCAAACAATGTAATTATTTTATTTTAAAAAATTAATAAAATGAAATTTGAATTATAATATTTGCCAGAAATAGTTTTCTAATCATCCGTATTTAATTGGTAATTAAAAAAAAAATCATACGACACCATACTGTACTAAAATTTTAAGTATTCAATTAAAATTATTCTAGCAAATAGATTAATCTTATCGGAAAATATTTTCGACGAACAAGTGGTCAGAAATATAATTGTTTCGACCCGATTATGTCATGGGGAATGTTGTCGGAAATATGTAATTATTGTCGGAAAGTATTTCTGATGATAAAGTGTTTGTTGGAAATATGCATTACCGAGAGGGAAATGCGGTCGAAAAATGTAATTATTTTATTTTAAAAAATTAATAAAATGAAATTTGAATAATATTTGCCAGAAATAGTTTTCTAATCATCCGTATTTAATTGGTAATTAAAAAAAAAATCATACGACACCATACTGTACTAAAATTTTAAGTATTCAATTAAAATTATTCTAAATAGTTAAAACATAAACAATCCTCATCATCCTTAAAACATATAAGCAATCCGCAAATATATTAAAACCTTGAAATTCAAAATACATATTGTAGCAAAATACAATTGATGTTGCACTACTCGTCTTCGAGGTGAGCATTTGAACAACTTTCTACATTGTCCTGTTGAATAAAAGATAATAATTAATAAGACATAAATCGTTTGAGAATAAAAATAACAAATACAATATTTAACAGTGAGCAAAATATTGAAATGAGAAGAAAAGAGTTCGCCATTGAAGCGGATTGTCTTAAGCGTGCATAAGTATTTGAGTTGTTTTCCCTCATACTTTGAACTGGATCTTTCAATTCGTACAACACACTTTTCAAGTTCTTCACTTCCTCCTTTAATTTCTCATGCTCTTCTTCACGTTCTAAGCATATACGTTTATTACAACCTTGGTCATCTGAGGGATACACATCTTTTGTACTATAGCCACCACCCAATCCAAGGATATGACCGTGACTTGACCCACCAATAACCTCCTTGTATATATCCCAATCATCTACTTCATTCTCGTCTTCCGTTGCAGCAACCTTTTTATTCTCCAGTTTTTCCTTCAATGAAATAGTAGAAATATAAACATGGATATAAAAAAATGCCATGTGAATAAAATTTAAAAAAAAAAAAGAGAAACAAAGTAGGGGCAGCGTACAAAAAGTTCTTTAGCCTTTTCACTTGGCCAACTTTCTTCTCCTCCATTCTTAGGCTTACTTACATGGAACTTTTTGAAACAATCAATTGGACTCGGTTCAGTTCCAGTTCGATCAAGCTATTAAGATTTAAACAATGAAGTTTGTTAGGACCAAATTTGGAAATAACCACAAAAGGAAGTGTCTGCCGCGCAAATCTCACGGCTTGGAGTTCCGGGCCGAGGGGATGTGCGTCGACACGCGGTTTCCTGCTTTTGGGTGCGGTGCGGTTGTGCCCGGGCGTGCCAACACGGTCTACCGTGCGTCGAGTTGGTTGATGGGGATAGAATGGTTAATTGGTGCGCCTGTTTGAACTCGTCTTCTAATCAAACGATTGTAGCCGAGAGAGGAACTAGTCTCGGCTGTTAGGTTCACGGCCTGAACTACA